TAAGGACATTTTGGATTTTATCATTATGATACATGAAGACTGTTAACACATCACCACATTCCAGATCATTAACACATCAGCATATTCAAAATTGGAATTCATTTGAATCACCACTGGAATTTTTTTTTGAACTATATTTTGTGGGACCTGTAACAGATCTTTACCTTTTGGGATTTAATTTAGAAGTTCTTTTTGAATTTTCACTTTTCATTTGAGGGAAACAAATTATTTGTTAAATTTTACAAAAATTGTTGGTTTTCCTCTTTCTATTATTTAGTTCAAGACCACAAAGTCATAATAAACAGTTCTATATTCCACATGTATTTGTAGAGCTGATTGTTTCATGTTTTGGAAGCAGAATGCTTCCAAAAATCAAGTTCCTGGTTCAGGAACTTGAATTAAGTCTACAGTTTTCTATAAAATAGAATCTGAATTTCTGGGAATATTTGAACACCATTTTTAAAAAAAAATCTACCAATAACTCTGGTTCATAACATTTCATTTGGACTTGTAACTTGAAGGAAACTAAACTTAATTACTTAATCATTCAATTATGAATCCTTCTCATTGACCAGTTAAACTTAAAAGCATGGTGTAACTGATCCAGTATTTAGCATGCACACCAGATATTTCAAACTTCTCAAACATTTTAATATACCACCTGTTTAGAGAAATTACTTTTTAAAATTAGTTTTAATTTAATAATGCATTTTTCTATTTCCAACACATTCATCAGTGTAGACCAAGTTTTTAAAAACTTTTTCAGGTTATCTGGATAGTAATCAATTTCAATTATCAACCTATATATTTTATTATTTAGTTTCGGTCCTGAATCTTAATCTTCAAGATGATGTGCTTGTGGACATGGATGCCCCACTATGGGGGCTGAAAATTTACCTAGGTCCAAAACATAACCTAGATGGTATAGTCAAGGCAAGGTACAGAACATACATTTGCCCTCCAACCAGAAATGGTGTCAAAGAACACTGACACTTCACAACATGGATACCTTATATTCGAAAACTGACCAAGAAACAAAACTTAACCATAAAACTTTAATTTGTGTCTATTGTTAGAAAAGAACAGAGTAATTCATGTAGGTGAAACATTAATTTCCACAAGGTGAAATCTGATTAAGAAACTAGAATTGTGTCCAGATGTCAAAGCTGCAAATGTGGCATAGCTCTAGAATGTAGCACAATAATGAGTAAATATCAATGTCACAGAATAAAGTAAAGGCAAACGAATTGTCAATAGACCTACACATATGCAATGAGAAATTACCAACCTCAAAATTAATTGACTGACAAGTCATTTAGAGAATACTTTGAAATCACTTTATTCCCAATAAACAGAGGTCTATTATTTTTGGTTGAATTTATATGTAAAATGATCATAATAGAACCATATCTACTGGCAGACACTATCTGCAAAAGGAGATCTAGATCTATGCTGTTCATGGTTGGGCAACCTATTGTGATGTTATCATGATCTAAAAAATGCATCATGATAATCCCATATTTTTTTGCAAGATATCATGACAAACATATGACAACATTTTTGCCAATAAACAAAAATCTCTACAACCTGCAATGAAAATATTTGCCAGGACAGACCATTACCTCTTTACCCTTACTTTCTGTTAATCTGACAAACATGTATCAACTGAAATGTACTAAAATGCTAAGAACACAGAGATTATGGTAAACAGGCTACTCTGCCTGGACCATTATAAGTGTGCAGTTAACTGGCAATGGATTTATATGATATGACCAATTTATTTTGCCATTGGTATCACCACCCAAAATCTGATGATAATACATCCCAAGGATGACATATAATAACATAAGGAAAATTAATATAACTGGCCCAATAATCCAATTGTATTGCAAAGGTGACACTCTGCATTAATTATGTCAACATGCAGTTGTTCTCTACCACAAGTCATGTCAGAAAAAAGGTAGAGAACAACTTGTTGGTTTACTATACTCAGTCATAGTGTAACTCTAACTGAATAACTAATTGGCTCTGCTAAAGGAATTACCTAATCTGACCTAGCTGCTGGACAGGCCTTCTGATTAGCTTAGCTTTGGATGCTTAACAGATTTACAAAAATGCTTATCTGGTCAACTCAGCAGTAGGATACTAAAGTGACTCACACAGCAGCAGGATACTAAAGTGATTGACTCAGCAGCAGGATACTAAAGTGACTGACACAGCAGTAGGTTACTAAAATGACTGACACAGCAGTAGGATACTAAAGTGACTGACTCAGCAGTAGGATACTAAAGTGACTGACTCAGCAGTAGGATACTAAAGTGACAGACACAGCAGTAGGTTACTAAAGTGACTGACTCAGCAGCAGGATACTAAAGTGACTGACACAGCAGTAGGATACTAAAGTGACTGACACAGAAGCAGAATACTAAAGTGACTGACTCAGCAGCAGCATACTAAAGTGACAGATACAGCAGCAGGATACTAAAGTGACAGACTCAGCAGCAGGGCACTACACTAAATGGATTGACTCAGCAGTTGGATTATTCCTCCTTATCAACTCCCAGGACTGACTCCTCTTATTGACCCAGGCATACAGTACATCCATCACATGATTCTGGTGAAGTATTGTGTTGGTTAAGGAATACATAAGGCCTTCTGCTTGATTGACCTTTATTTGTATAATCTTTTATCTCTAATATACACCCCTGTAAGAATGTCTTCTAATTACATGTAGTTTGGTTTTAGCACAGTGCTGCTTTATCAGTTCATAACTGATGGACTGCCTGCTCACATGACCAATTATGTTGATATAAAAATAATGTGTACTTATTAAAATACAAGTCATGCTACCCACCTTGTTTTTCATTTATATCTGCTGCAATACAGAATTCATGTGAATGGTTGTCAATGTGCTGTGTATTTACTTGTGTGTATGTGTGTAAACATGTGATTATGATTAATAATTCCTAGCTTACCAACTCAGTCACCATCATAAATAAAGTCATTATTATTAATATTATTTTTAACATTAATCAGGGTATTATTGGGCAAAATTTAAATGGAATACATTATTATGATTATCGATGGAAGTTATTCCTACAAACTAAAAGTAATATTAACAAATGACCTTAACTGCTATTTTTTAGACATACAGTTTGACCATATTGCTGAATGCATCATATGATCATGCAAGGGTTATGCAAATTCTACTTTCCACATAGGGTGAAATCACACTTTTCCGTGTATTGTTGGATGTTGGTTCATTTTTTTAAAATAAAAATAATAATATTTATGTGAACTAACCTAAAGTAAGAATGTAAATAAACAAACATCTGATTAGTGTATAATTCTAAATTGACTGTGATAAATTGTAAATACATAAATAAAAACCTTTTATAATAAATATGCTTCTCAATAACTTGTAACAAATTGTTATGCTGACTAAACATTACTAAGGAATAGTAGAGGAGATGATAAGACAATTCAGCATTTTTCTAAAAATATAATAATAATAATAATAATAATAATAATAATAATAATAATAATAATAATAATAATAATAATAATAATAATAAAAGTAATAAAAAATAGTAATAATAAAAATAATAACAATAAAAACAACAACAACAATAATAATAAATACAATGAAGACAAAAATATTTTTTATCAAGTGGTGAGGGTTTATGGAGAATAATGGCAATGAACATAATTTGTGTGATTATCAATTAGTTAAACTTATTACAAATGTCAATGCTAAATTATCAGAGCAGTTTTGCATTAAATGCCTGCTAAAACCCCTACAATTATATCAGCTGAAGTAGATTTTATTGTCATTACAAGTCAAATGTACTCTAAATATTAACCTATCTATAGTACTTAAAAATCAGCTGACCAGTGTAGATGTGTGGTCTAAAGTGCTCACATTTTTTTATCACTGCCATGTCACCTCTGTCTGCATGGGTTCATGTTTCGGTTTCAGCATATGTGAGAAAACACGAAAGCAACTTCCCATGGGTTAATGGTTCTTAATAGGTTTTCTAAGGTATTACCTCCAACAGTTTTACTGGTTGCCATGTATAGCCTATCTTGTGCTGAAAAGTGAATTTTAAACCCACAACAACTACAACAATAATCAGCTAAATGTATCTGAATAGTCTGATAATATGCAAACAGTGTGTCCATATATATTTATCATCCAAACAAATAGAGTTCAAGGCTGGCACCAGCTTAGACATTCAACCACGCAAAACAAGAATAAACCTTTACTTTGCCAGCACTTTAATAGTGTCAGGCACATGATATTTTTCTGGAAATGGAAAAATAAGGTTCCTGAAGAAACTATCTGAATACTGGAAGTGCTGCAAAAGTTATGTATTTAACTAGAAAACAATTTTTTTTTTCTTTTGCTGCAGGGATCATTATAGTCTGTTTGAAGCAGGAAGATGTCAGATATTATATATGATGATAATGAACTACTATGTGGTAAATAGCCTTAACCAATTTAATTGGTTTGTCCAATACATTATTATTATTATTATTATTATTATTATTATTATTATTATTATTATTATTATTGATTATACCTCATGACAAAAATCACAATAACATCATAATGCATACCTGCCATCACCTTTAGAGCTATAAGCATTACCTAAGTGTCAAAACTGAGTAAATTGAGTATTGACAATGTAATTTATACATTGTATGCCATAATTACAATAAACTAATAAAAATATACATTTAGTTATGCTACTAACTTGAATCTGCAGCTGGTTAAAGTAATAGGAAAAATCTATGAAGATTATTATCAGAATACAAACACACACAACACTCACTTAAACTAGTCTACATGTCTAATGTTGTTCAGTAAAAATCAACAAGCATATGACATTAATTAGATGAAAAAAGTGTAATGATTACACCAAAAGCATAATGTTTTTCCAGATATGCATCCTAATTCAAGAAATGAAAATTCAGGAGTCATTTTCACTCCATTACTGGACCGCTTCGGTGACCTTGTGGTTAGAGCATCTGCCTCGGTTGCAGGAGGTTTTGGGTTCGAACCCCAGCTGAGTCATACCAAAGACTTTAAAATATTGTACTACCAGCTACCTTGCTTGGTACTCAGCATTAGGAGGTTAGTGTTAGGATTGGTTGGCCTGGTGTCAGGATAATGTGACTGTGTGGGACATCATGCCACATGTCTGCGGCATAATGCCCAGTGCTAGACATCACTATAAACTGTCACACTGCAGACATCATAGTGATATGACTGAAAAAATGTTAAAGCTATGTTAAAAATCCAAATCACACACTCCACTACTTTGTTTTAATGCAAGGGTTGATATTTGTTCTTCTAGACTATAATTTTAAACCAAGATGTCTTACTCGTGAATATGGAATTGTTGCCAGATTTACGTTGCCACCATAATGCTGCGGCTCCTCTTGGTTTCGTTGTCTGCGTATTCTATCACTAAGTCTACGCTCTGGTTTGGCTTTAGGCATGCTGCCAGGTGTATAGACAGCAAAGAATTTAATGAATAATCCCATGGCCAGGACTAACCCCAGGGCCATCAGTAACACTGCCCACCAGTGCTCCTGTAAAGGAAAATAGAAAATATGATTTTAAGTTATATCATTAGGAAGGATAAGAGTTCCACAAAATGCTGCATTTTCAAGTACAGAATTCAGTGCTATCAGACATGAAGTGAAAATGAGTTTTTCTAATCCTAAATGCATGGCATTCCAAAATGCAAAGTAGGTTTTCCAATAGTGAATTCACAGTATTCACCAATGAAAAATGAAAGTAGATTTTCTAATAGGGAATTCACAGCATTCTAAGATGTGAACTGAAATTAGGTTTTCTAACAAAGAATTCAGTTTTCCCAGATAAAGTGAAAGTAAGTATTCTATTACTGAATTCACATCATTCCTAGATATTAATTGAAATTAAGTTTTTATTAGTGAATTTACTGCATTCTAAGATGTGAAGTGAAAGTAAGTTTACTAATAGTGTTCCCCCTCATGAACGGCACCCTGACCAGTGTCTCCCAATTTTTATGGCCAGAAACCATTGGTACCAACAAGTTTCTGTTAAACAAGTACCTCTCAAGAAAGACCACCCTTCTAATGTGAGCAGTGAACAACACATTTATGTAAAAATGCAAAATTTACCCTTCATAAGTGGCCACATTTTATTACTAATGTCTCCAGAACCAATATTTAATTCATATGGCAAGGTCAGTAATCTATTTTTTCTAATGTATTTGTCTGGATGTCAGGTTTTCATTACTGAAAAGAAGTGATTGCTAAAGTACATGCACACCTAAGGTTAGTATTAATAACACTGATGTCTAGAGGAAATGGGGTTAGCAATTATTTGATACAATTTTGGACTTCACATGTTTTTTTAAAAATATTTTTTTTATGATTACGATCAGACATAATTGTCAAGATCATAACAGAGGTAGCAAAATAAATTTCATGGATTAGCACACACAGAGAACCTAACCTTGAACAAAACAGGGTACTGGACAAAGACCATAAAATCATGTGACAGTACACAAATCATGTCCTTGTTAAACAAGGAATTATGTTTACTCTATGAAAGTTTTGTTTGCATATTAATTAAATTGCAATCTTTACAATTTGCAACATACAAATAAACTGTTACAAAACTTTAACTTGACATCACCTAAAATGAGAAATAATACTCCAGAAAGAAAAGTAAAATTTTTTTTACATAACGACAAGGGGAGAGTTCACTGAACGATAAATTTTATGTTGGGAAGACTCCAACAAATAATATTGCAACAGATAAGAATATTCTGTAGTGGATGGAAAATGAAGCAAATTGAACAAGAATTATTTTAAATACAAAATAATGTATGTTCCAAGATATAAATAGGATTTTTGAATGGGTTTGCAATGTGCATGCCAACAATACCAAACTCATAATTCACACCTAATAAGAACTATTAATTCATGTTACCTTGAAATAAGTCTCTATTTAAGACAAGAAGGACATTTTAATAATTGGAACTACTTTTAAATGAAGATATGAACTGTTTTAAGTTTATAAATAGACTTCTTACTATATACACACACACACACACATTATATATATATATATATATATATATATATATATATATATATATATATATATATATATATATATATATAATGTGTGTGTGTGTATATATAAAGAAATATATATAAAAACTTATATATATATATATATATATATATATATATATATATATATATATATATATATATATATATATATATATATATATATATATATATCAATAATTTAGACCACCTCTGGAAAGGTCACTCATCTACTATGGCCAGTTTCCCAGTGCAGAAGGGGTGGCCATACAAGAGGGGCAAAACTGTACAGAATTTACACTATTACTACATGTTAAGTGTCAGTAGGTATTCTGATAGTTAATTCACAGCATTTCATGATGTAAAGTGAAAGTAGGGTTTCCATTACTGAATCCACAGCATTCCATTATGTGAAGTGAACATATATTTTATAATATTGAATTCAGTGTTCCCATAATAGCTTTATGATTTGTACATCAGTTAACTCAAGTTAAATCCAAGACATTCTAAGTTCAGCCTCACACAAATAACATTTGAGCCATAGGCATAGTCAGAATAAAAACACATTTTGTTTACACCTTTAAGGCTAGACCAATAATTTTTAAAATTAGACAAAATTAAATACCTACCACTATCCACAATCTAACAGTCTCCAAAGTTTGTGGATTAAATAAGAGGTTCTTTAGACGTGCTAGTGGTCCCTCAGAATCTATACCACGGCAGCGATAAAACACATCACAGTAACCCTGGAAGTTATTACATGGAGATCCTGAAAAATAAAGAATAAATAATAAATACACAAAACTGCATACATGTTCTGTTCCAAGTCAACAGAGAGAACAGGTTTGATATGCTCCAGGTAGTGAAGCAAAGATTAAATGTGACATATCAAACGAATTCTACACACACACACACACACACACACACATACTGCTGCATTTACAATGCACATGTTAAGTGAATTTGCAACTTTATCATGATTCAAGATGTTTACTTTGATTTGACTTCAAGAATTGGCATTTTCCCAAGAAATTTCTAATGTGTCAAGTGAAACTATCATATTGGATTTGGAAAACAATTATTCCTATCAGGTTTAAGACCAGTCTGCATAATCACTTACAGCTGTGTTCATATTGTTACATATCAGCTCATTCAAAGTAACATAATGTAAGAGAAAGAGTGAAGACAACAAGCTTTGTAAATTTTAACAAAAATATTTATTTTCCTAGAAAACATAAAATAATATAAATATTTTAAGCAATTACGGTTTACAGAAATGATCCAAACTGTTTGTTCAAAATAGAAACATAAGTCCTGTAAAAAGTTCTAAACACAGTCTGAACTTCAATTCTGGTCCAAAATGGCAGATGACCATGACAGACGAAGGCTAACAGAAAATTCCAGAATTTACACAATAAAGCACAGTTTGTGTTGTTCCATTCCAATTTAGAATATTTTCAGGAAAATGTCTTTGACCAAATCAATAATGTTGTTCTCCAGGAAAACAATTATTCAGAAAAACTAAGTAAAATTAGTTCCTCTAACAAGACATGTTATTCTATGTAGACATAGAAACAGACAACTTCTTCTAGCATACAAATACTTTTTTAAGGTAATAGAAATTGTATAACTAAGATGTTACAATAACTACAACTGACTTTACGACTCTACGACTGTGTATGACTCTCAACTATGACTGTCTGTCTTACAAAAAAACTCAACATATAAATGAAACTAATACATTGTTTGAATTACACGTGCATGAGGATGCATACAATTTTGTAATACTTCTGGACATTAGGAAAGCCTGACCATGTATCAGCCAGTCGTCTTCATAGCTATTCCTGAATGTTTACTTGTAATGAATTTGTCATCATACCCAGCATGAGCTCACATGAGTCACATTTATGACTCAAGTAATCACTATGTTATTCAACAACATATTAATATATTCATATTATTAATTACATTTAATGAAATAAAATGTAATAAAAAGATTTATAAAAAATTCATTCCTTAACACACCCATACTTTAACTACATGGTCGTAACAATATATAATCTGAGAGGAATTATTTAATTTATTAATTGTCATTACAAAGTGCTCATTGATGTTTTGGGCTAAACACATTACTTTAGGATTATTGAGAAAAGATTTAGGACTGTTAGTTGATCACAACATTCAAGACAATTTATATATCAGCACATTCAAGACTATTAGAATTAATCTGGAACATTCTATACTATTGGACTTGTGACAGGACATTTATGACATGCTGAATGGATAACACTGTCTTTAAAACTTTCACTCTGTTACTTTTGTGTGTATTTGTATCATTTAAATTTTTTAACATAGCTTTAGCAATTTTAGTCCTATCACTATGATGTTTGGAATGTGGCAGTTTCTAGTAATGTCCAGCACAGCAGACATATCATATCCCACCCAGTCACATTATTCTTGCACCAGTCTAACCAATCCTAACATGAACCTCCTAATGCTGAGTGACAAACGAGACCGCTGCTAGTATCATTTTTACAAGTCTTTGCAATGACTTGGCTGGGTTTCAAATCTGCAACCTCCCTTATCCAAGACAGATACTCTAACCAATTAGACCACCAGAGTGGTCATTAAACTTTGAGAAATAAAGTGTTTGTGGAGTTTACTAAACTTATTCGTTGTGCTTTCTTTCTTTTACATAGTTTAAGACCTATAGTCAAAACAATATATATATATATATATATATATATATATATATATATATATATATATATATATATATATATATATATATATATATATATATATATATATATGAATATGTGGATAAAGTTTCATCAAAATATCTCCAAGGCTGCAAAGTATTAGGCTGAAACATCAAATGGATAAATAAAAAATTTGATTTCAAAAATGACTGCAAAATGGATACTGAGGCAGCTGGTTGAATGTAAAACTTTCCTCAAC